ACATAAGAGCGATTTTTAAGCTGCAAATTAATCAAAATGAAATAATTTTATAATGGCTGGTGTTGACACCTTTCCTAGCAGAAAAAGATTGTGTGGCTTCATGGAAGATATGCCAAGACAGCATAGACTTACTATTCCTTGAAATACATGGAAGTATGGAATTTACTATGAAAAAAAAAACCGCTTAAAGTATATGTATACCAATCAATACAAACTCATGATGTTCTCTGTCCTGTTCTGCATGTACAGTGTGAAATGCAGACAAATGTAAACAATTCTATGTTCAGTGAGAGTTCTCAATGCACATGGAAAGAAAGGGCATAAGTAAGAGTCTATACTTGTAAAGATACTTGGTATTGATGTATATATTAAAGAAGTTATTTTGAATTGATTTTAAAAGTACCCTTATCCTTTTAATACTGTGAATGGTGCTTCAATAAACATATGTGCGTCATGTTTATATTGCTACTTTCTTTCAAAGACACATAAAAGGAAACAACATTTGAATCAGGCAAGTTGGGTAAAATATTTGAAGTAACCTGCCCCTGACCTTTCACAAATGATTCAGTGCTGAAGGCAGAGACCACAATGAGAAGGGAATTCCAATGTCCTCCGTGTATAAAGCAAACAGTTTATAACAGCACAATGTCATGCTGATAAAAGGGAGGACACTGAACATTAATTGCATCGCTCATAACTGTCGTTGATCCTTTCTAAGTAAAAGTCTAACACTCTTACTCTTTTTATTACATTTCCACAGATAAATCAGCTCACTGGAGTACCAAGTACAAACCAGGAGACCTCAGTTGCATGATTTGGGTTTATCAGCTTTCCCAAGATCTTGCAAGGAGGCCCAATCACATCACTCTAACTAATACACTGCGGCTTCCATTGCACCTTTAACAGAATTATTTTGTACAGTTCTCATACATTGTTTTTTTTGTATTATTATTTTAACATGTTTTATTTGAGGATTGGGGCATTTTTATGGTCCCCTTTAAATTATTCATATCAAGACTCAAGACATTCAAGACTTATCAAAAAACTAATTGATATGTCACATTCAGGTAGATGTTGGTAGTTTACATTTCAGGTATGTGCAAGATCAGGAAGGAAATCAGGCAGCTTATTTTTCTGTTATAAAAATAATAGAAATATTAATAAGAAAAATTATTTTGTAACAGCAGTAAAACTGAGAATTCCGGTATTTGCACTCAGCTAAATAAAGTTTTGAAATGATTTACTGAGTTCACCATAACAGCAAAATATTCTCTATATAGATATAAGGCTCAATAAGACTAACTGATCCTATCAAGGCAGGAACAAAGAGCTGCCTCTGATTAATTATGATTATTGTGATTAATGAGTCACTGGTCTGGAACAAGGGTGCCACCAGTAAAGTGCCAGAACAACGGGAAAGCATACTTGGGACAGAAATATACCAAGCAGTAATAGCCAAATTCCAGCCATTTTGTTTATATATATATATATATAATATTCTT